AAAAAAAAAAAAAAGGTAACTTATTGACTTTATTCCTGTCTGGATATGCTCTTTTGTGCAAAAAATTTTACAACTAGTGCAATTTCTGTCTTGTCAGATCTTCGGTCCTTCTAATGACCCGTGTTTTGAGATGAGCTATAATATCTACACTGAGAAATTCTTTTCTGCTAGAGTAAGAAAGTGTAGTCTTCATTTAAAATGTGCCTATTAACTCCAATCCTTTTATTGTATAGTTTGTGTTTGTCACATGTGGCCATCCAACATCTTTGCACACTCTCCCTATATTTTGATAATTCCTCTTATAAATCCCACTTCTTCAAGTAGAGGTCAGAAAAGTCACATGAATTGACCCTGTTCTGCCAGTCTATGCAACTCCTGGATTTCAAAATTAGCAACTTGAGGAGGTGGCCACATGTAAGAGAATCTACCTTCTAGGAAGTGCATTGGCAGATGTGACTTGTTTTCCAAGGCAGCAGTAGAGGTTCTGGCATTCAGTCCTGCGTGTTGTTGGTTCTAGAGTGTACTCTGGTGCTTTAATTAGAGCAACTGCACACTAAAGATGTGGTGTTAGCAGCTCTCTGACACCCCAGGGATTCTGTGAGCTAACCAAAAAACAAAAACAGTTGTCATCACATCAGTTCTGACGAATGGTATACTATTGTATGCAACAATATACAAAAAACAGTTACCATTGAGTCAATGTTTACACCATGCATGTCAGAATAGAACTGTGCTCCATAGGGTTTTCAATGCCTGATTTTTTGCAAAAAAATTGCCAGGTCTTTCTTCTGGGAAGACTCAGACCTTCAACCTTTTGGTTCATTAGCAGTTGAGCATGTTAACCATTTGTACTACTTAAGGACCTGAGCTAACATATATCTTTTAATAAATTACATTTTTTCTTAAATAACCCAGAGCACTTCTTGGGCACATCCAGCCACCCAGAGGGACCAAGTAGTTGAACCTGTGGGCTCAGGACCATAGTCACAGGGAACATGAAGCATAACAAACTACACAAAACATTGTTCCACTTGCAACTTTGGCAAATAGCATCTGGGATCTTAAAGGTTGCAAGCAGCCATCTATATGCAATGATGGGTCTCTCCTCCCCCAGAGCAAAGAAGACTAAAGAAAACCAAAAATTCATGGAAACAATTAGTCCTAGCGACTGGTACACCATGTGATCTGTAGCCAATATGACTATGAGACCAGAAGAACTAGATAGTGCCTGGCTACCACTGTCAACCACTCAGAGGGGGATCTATGTAGGAGATCCTGGATAGAGAGGGAGAACAATGTGGAACAAAACTCAAAATCATTTGAGAAAAAAAAAGGGGGGGTGGACCAGGTTTGCTGATCTGATGGGGCCTGGTGGAACCACTGAGGCTATGGCCTCTAGCTGCCCTTCAGGTCTGGAACTGAACCCACACCTGTGGTTTCCAGCCAAACAAAAGACGAGCATATGAGTTGAACATTTACTTGAGGTAGATACACTCCTTGGAGAGAACAATCATGGGAGAAAGAAGGGCTGTGTATGCACAGAGAGACAGCTCAGGGGGTAGGAGTGTATGGAGGGATGGACACAGGGAAGAGGTAACTATCGGGAAGAGGTTGGGGGTGGGGAGCTGTTGCATTGGAGTAAATTGTAGTCAATGTCATGAGACAAAGTGTATGTGAACTGCTGTATGGACAAAGTGTATGTGAACTGCTGTATGGAAAGTGAATTTGCTCTGTAAACTTTCACCCAAATCACAATTTTTTTAAAAAAGAGAAAGAAATCAGAGAAAAATTAGCCAGAGCATACTGTTTGTTAAAATTAAAAACCAGCCACTCCTTGGAAGGAAGGTTGGGCAATCCTACTTCCGTAGTGATACTGCCTCGGAAACCCAAGGAGGGGTGGCTGAGTCAGGGCCAACTCGATGGCACATAACAATAACAACAACAACAACAACAATTGATAATGTAAATAAATTACATTTCATGTCCCCTGTGACTATGGTCCCGAGCCCACAGGTTCAACCACCTCGTCCATCTGGGTGGCTGGCTGTGCCCAAGAAGTGCTCTGGGTTATTTAAGAAAAAATGTAATTTGTTAGCTTATAGACTAGCTCACTCACTTTGTATAGTACCTCATCTCTACTGTCCCATAATTTCTCCTGTCCTTCAAGTTCTTGTTAAAATCCACTTCCTCTCTTATTTTTATGTATATGAAAATATGGAGCATCTCTTGAACATTTAGAAATATGTCTCCAAAGGAATGTAATAGATACATTTGTTTGTGGGTTCTTATTATATGAGTCTTATACTCTTCTGTTCTCACTCTCATCTGAGTGCATATTTCTTGGATGAAGGGACTAGCTATCTTCATTGAATCCCTTTGTTCTTGTCACCCAGCATCCAGGAAAGAACTGTACACACTATAGTTGCACACCATAGAAACCATGTGACTGGGTGGCTGGTGGAGCAATAGTGTATCATTGAGACACTGAAATGAATTGCATCTTAAGATCCTTCAGTAAAGAAGCAAAAGCCATTACACTGTAATGCTCAACCCTTTATTGCACAACTATTTCTGAGGGTGGAATGAGTGAGGTGGTATCTGTCAAACTTATCACCAGTTGCAGCAGGAGCAGGAAGCGTCAAAGACGAGGCCAGCCTGACAGTGCTGAGTGAAGGTTTGTCCATTCACACAGTTGTAGAAGGCATTCTTGTTGGTGGGGTCAGGATATAGGCCACTGGCCCTGTTGGCACAGAATCCACTGCCACTGGGGCTGCCCCCAGAGCTGCTGCCGGAGCTGCCTCCAGAGCTGCTACTGCCACTACCACTGCCTCCGCTGCTGCTGGGAGCCTCAGTGATGGGAGCAATAGGCTGGGCTGGGGCTTTGCAACCTGAAAGGAGATAAACCAAATCATGAGTGCCCCCAGCTTTGACTCAATGATTCCGGAGGTTTTTGTTCTTGGCTCTTCCCTCTGTCTCTGCAGATGTCAGTCTAGTAAGCTCTCCATCCCTTGTCCTCTTTGCTTGTCCTCTCCATCCTCATGCTTCAAGCACAGCTCATGTTTTCCTCCCTCCTAGACTATCCCAATGTTTTAAAACTTCTCATTTCTATAAACTCACAAGAAATTTTATCTCTCTTTTGGGGGCACTTAATCATACATATACTGATATGTTATCTTCTGAGTGGTTATCTAACTTTGCCATTTGTCAGTCTTATCTCTCTAAGTAGATTATAAGCTTCTATAGAGTAGAGATTGTGATTTATGTAGTTTGGATCCCCTAAGTGCTTGGTCCACCAGCCACTCCTCGGAAGGAAGGTTGGGCAATCCTACTTGCGCAGTGATACTGCCTCGGAAACCCAAGGAGGGGTCGCTATGAGTCAGGTATGACTCGACGGCACATAACAACAACAACAACAACAAAGTGCTTGGTTGGGAGCTCTGGTAGCATAGTGACTAAGGCACTTGACTGCTAACCAGAAGGCTGGTGGTTCAAACCCACCAGCCACTCCTCGGAAGGAAGATCGGGCAATCTACTTCTGTAGTGATACTGCCTCGGAAACCCAAGGAGGGGTCACTATGAGTCAGGTCCAACTTGACGGCACACAACAACAACAAGTGCTTGGTTACTAGCCAAAGGGTTGGTGGTTTGAACCCAGCCAGAGGTTCCTCAGAAAGCAGGCCTGGTGATCTGCTTCTGAAAGATCACAGTCTGAAAAACTCTATGGAGCAGTTCTACTCTGACACACGTGGGGTCGGGATGAGTTGGAATGAACTCAATGGCAACTAACAAAAACAACAACATGGTACTTGTATACTGCTGCAAACATTACAGATGTTGAAAAAATTGCTTGTGACATAAATGATGGATAAAGGAATAGTGAAGAGCCCTGTTTATTCTCTCTATCACTGATGAACCTCTCTATCAAATATAAACAGAGCAATAGTCATAAAATCAGTTGTACAATGGATCCCTGACTTTCATTAACCCTTTGACATTTCTCTCAAATCTGAGTGTTAGGATCCCTTTTCATCCCCTAACTCACTTGCACTCTGCAGGCCCAGGGCATCCTTCAGGGTGGTGATCAGGGGGAATTTGCCCTGGTTGCAGAAAGTGCCTGTGAAATCATCCAAATCAATGGCCCAGACCATGGCACCTGCAAAGTTGTTCTTCATCAGCCAATCAGCCTGTAGCAATTAGAAAGAAACTCAATTAAGTCCAGATATCCAGGCCAACCTATGACTTCAGGGCTACAGATGGGAACAAGCTCACAGGCAACAATAATCCAGCACTGTTTACCTTAATTTTGAAGCTCCTGGGGTTGTCATATCCAAGCCACTCATTGCCTTTGTAAGCATAGGGAACATCCTCAGCAGCCTCCCACACCTCAGTAGCTCCATTCTTCAGGAAGGTGCAGATCTAAGGACATAAGGAAAGGGTCAAGAGATGGACAAGTGTCCATGTGGCAGGGGTAAAAGGGCACTGAGGAGAAGAGATAAAGAAGAGATGCATGAAAGCTACTTGAAAAGGAAGGTCTAGAGCTCTATCAGCAAATGTCTTGCTTCATTTCTGATTCTAATTCTGGGTCCCATTTGGGTCACTCATTTTCAATGTGGGGAGAAGCTCTGAAATCAAGGAATGCCCTGGTTGTTAGAAGACTCTACAGAGTGATACAATTGCACTGATGAGGTTTCCTACTGTCACCCAGCCTATAGAGCCCTAGTGAGATCCCAACTCAAGTTGTGCCTCTCTTCCAGAAGAGCTATGAGCAGTCACTGGAGCAAAGAAGTGTTGAAAGATGCAATCCATTACATTGTTAAATACAAAGACCAAAAGAAAGACTCTTTTCCGTTCTCTTTAAAATTTTCAGGTACATACCTCATAGTAGGCCCAGAATCCAGACTGCCTGGTGTAGGGTCCAGCAGGGCCAGGGCCAGTGGTAGGGGCACCAATTCCATGGTTGGCGGGATTGCTCAGGAGGAAGGTGTGTCCATAGGCTGGGAATCCAACGATGAGCTTCTCAGCTGGAGCTCCATTGTCCTTCCAGTAGTTCATTGCATACTCCTGCAATGCCAGTGGGTTAGATACAACCTCCATCCAGCTCACAGTCTAATAATCGTTTCTGGCATGATTGTGCATGCTGTACAAAATATTTGAAACATATTTTAGAGCCTCATGAACATATATCTGTTCCTATCTCAACTACCTTCTTTTATAACATTCCAATACCCATCCCATATAAATATATGATAGGAGGACTAAGATTTTCTTTTTCTTAATTTTCCTGGTGTGATCATTGGTAAATGGCTAAAATTCTGTATGGCATATGTGTACATGAGATTAGAATAGTGGGAGATAAAAAAAAAATCAAAAGAGGAACAAGAAAAAGAGAAAAGTGGGAGATCTGTTTTATAAATTTATTGAAAATAAGGAATATTTATAATAATTAAAATGTATTGAAATGAGTAATAGCACCTTATTTTCTTTTGTTAGAAAGCAAGCACTGGTTATTAATCTCTTTTCCTACCTGATAAAATTCAGTTCAATGTTCATAATGTGGAAAATTTTTAATAAATGGGAACTAGTCAGTTGACTATAGCAACCTAATTTTCCATTTGAGAAAATGACTAATTTTTTTTTAAAATGACTAAATTTTTGATGCCTCTTGGTAGTACAGTGCCTAACACATCTAACTGCTAACCAGAAGGTTGGTGGTTCAAACCCACCAGCCACTCTATGGAAGCAAGACTAGGCAATCTACTTCCACAAAGATTTACTGCCTTAGAAATCCAAAGGAGGTCACTATGAGTCGGAATTGACTCAATGGCAGTGGGATGGGTTTTGGCTTTTTTGGCTTGTTCCTTAATCTCCACGTGATTCACAACATCATGTGCATGTGAATGTGGGCAGGAGCTTACCACATTGAGATAGGCATTGCTGCCAGTGTCACTGGGGTACTTGTAGAGGGGGCTGTTCTCTCCAGTGTAACCCTCCCAGGAGCCATGCAGGTCATAGGTCATGACGTGGAAGTAGTCCAGGTACCTGAGGTAGGATAAAGGATTCAAAACCATTTCTGATGGTCATTTCCCATACCCATTCAGGCAAAAGATACCACTTCCAAACCCTGAACAGTAAGCAGACCAAGAATCCTGTATAAGTGACACGGGATGCTCAACCCATCACTCACTGGGCCAGTTGAGGGATCTCATAGCCAGACTGGATGTTGGAGATGCCAGCAGCTACTGCAGCGGTGACCATCAGCCTGGGCTTGTTAACCTGCTTGGCTTCCTGCTCAAAAGCTTGACGCATTTCCTATAAATGAATAGGAGAAAGTCTATGAATATCAACTTGAATAGTCTATGAATATCAAGTTGGCTGTCATGAGTACTCTTTGAATTAAATTAATATCTTCCATCTTTTATTCTTCAGCATTGTCACTAGAAAAGAAAAAGTCCTTTAACTGCAACTGAGATTTTTGTAAGCATAGCTTTTCTGGATAGCTTTAGGGATTTTTCAAATGAAAGTTGTTATACGCTTTTCAATTAAAGTGATATGACATTCTGCTCACCTGCACCAGGACAGTGAAGAGGTGCTTATCCTGAGGAGTGCTTCCACGAGAGCCAGGATACTCCCAGTCAAAGTCCAGTCCATCAAACTCATACTGACGCAGGAATTTGATGACTGACGTAATGAAAGTCTGGCGGTTCTCAGGAGTGGAAACCATGGCAGTGAATCTGGTGGGGAGACCCAAAGAAGGCAGAGTGAGGGAATGCCTTAGTAGTCCCAGCACTTTGTAGTAAAATCAGGCCAGGGAGTCATCTCATACAAGAATAGAAGAACTTACGGAGCAGTTCCAAAGTTCCAGCCACCAATAGCCAGGAGAGTTTTCAGTTGACTGTTTCTAAGGGAAAGGAAGCAAAGTGTTTTATCAGAAAAAAAAAAAAAAAAAAAGGAAGAAAGGGTAGCTATTTTAGCATTAGCTGTTATGGTGAATGAGAAGCCAGGAAATGTCTAACGCAGCCTCTCATACTGGTTTCCACCACCTGTCAATCAGTTCATCGTTCAGTGGTGGCCTGTGTGTTGCTATGATGCTAAAAGATATGCCACCAGAATTTCAAATACCAGCAGGGTCACACATGGTAGATGGGTTTCAGTGGAACTCCAAACTAAGGCAGACTAGAAAGAAAGGGTAGCAATCTACTTCTGAAATCAGCCAAAGAAAACTTTATGGATCACAACAGCACATGGTCAGATATAATGCCGCAAGATGCAAACATGCCAGTAATTACTAATATGAGCAACATTTCATTCTGTTATCCATAAGGTTACCATGAGTCAGGGTCTAAATAACAACAACATCAAGGAGGTTTATCTTCACTCTCATCCTTATTTCCTAAATTGTGAGAGTTGTGGAAGCAGGTTAGCTGAGGCTAATATGGTTCCATGTCTCTACAATTCTCAGTTCTGCCCTGGGAATGAAGCCCCTATCTCAAGAGACTGAGTGCTTCATCAGTGCCAGCTTTAGATTATGTCCAAGTGGAAGATTGCTTTAATCTGGGTCCACGAGCAGTTGCACTTTTCTAAATTTCCCTTGGCAACTGAGTAGATTTCAGCTGACAGCTGCCTCAACCACTAACTCTAACATTAGAGTTGTGACTGAACTGAAAGTGATGAGAATGCTCTGAAGTAATCTGCACACTGCTTGCTGACCCGTTTGAAATTTCAGTCTAGAGGCCACAATGGGAGATTTTGTTCTAAGTGTTTTTGAAGGTTAAGTGATTTTGAACCTTAGTTCTTTTGTTACTTGGAATCTTTGGGTGGCGAAAATGGTTAAGTGCTTGCCTGCTAACTGAAAGGCTGGCGGCTGAAATCCACCCAGAGGAACCTTGGAAGAAAGACTCGGCAATCTACTTCTGAAAAAGTAGCTCTTCCAAACCCTATAGAGCACGGTTCTGTTCTGATGCACATGGGGCCGCCATGAGTCAGAAATCAACTTGATGGCAACTAATTGGTTGGTTGGTTCTTTCATCACTTACTTGTTTTTCAGGCCATTGAAAGCTTGGTAGAGAGTCACATCATCCCACTCGATGGTGGCGATCTCGTTGTTGCTCATCCCAGCAAAGGCATAGATGAGGTGAGTACAGAGGCAGGGGTCGATGTTGTCAGGCTTAAAGCGCCCCAGGCCTGGCCGGTACTGGGCCCAGTTGGTGAAGTAACATGTCAGCTGGTAGGCAGAACCTGTTGCCCAAAGGCAGAGGTGAGAAATTATTACAGGAAACACTTCCTAGGGAATTAGAGATTGCTTAAGAAACCACAAAGTTCCAAATAACTCTCCAGTGTAAGTCTTAATGGGAAGATCTGTGTGAGACCCTTGTGAGTTGCAGCAAACCCATAATTAACAAGCAATTCAGGACTGAAGATAACTCCATCCCTCCAAGCAAGACTGGAGGAATTTAAGAAATCAGCAGCTTTAGCTGAAAGAAAACCTGGAAGTTTGTAAACTGATTTTCATAAGCCCCTCTCTGGATTCTTATAATCACAATTACTAGGGTTACTCACATAGCACTTGCTATGTACTGAATCCTGCTCTGGATAATTTATTTAGATTAATTCCTTAATCCTTGCTGCAACGCCATAAGTCCATTTTACCTCTCTGGAAACTGACGCACAGGAAGGATGATGATATAAGCCTATCTAGCACTTGTAGCTGTATCCTCTGTTGTTGGTTGCCATTGGGTTGATTTGGACTCATGGCAACTCCATGTGTTACAGGGTAGAACTACTTCTTAGCATTTTCTTGGCTATAATCTTAATGGAAGGAGATCTCCCAGCCTTTTCTTCCACAGTAATGCTGGATGGTTTTGGACCACCAACCCTTAGGTTAGCAGTTGAATGCAAATCATTTGCACCACTTAAATATCTTCTTTTCTTAGCAAAATGGAATAATAATTCTACCTAGGGGAAAGTGAAAACAGCCATCCACTAGGAGCCAAGAGTCCTGGCTTCTGGTTTGGATTCTGCCATGACCTTCCTCCATTACCTGGAATAACTCATATGACCTATCTCTGCCTTAGTTTTCTGGTCCATGATTTGGGGTGGTAACACCTTCCCTGTCCACCCCACCGAGAAGAGTTGTTCAATAAGGTGATGATTTGAAAGTGCTTTAACAGAGCAAAAGGCACCAAGACCATTATCTAGTGTGCTTTATCTTTGGAATTTTTAGTCAGATGATCCCAATCCTTTAAATTTTGTTTGGGAATTTCCAACTCTCTTAAGAAATTAACTTTCTTTGTGATGGAAGGAGAGAGGGCCATGCTGAATTTCCTAATTAGGAAGAAATAAAAAAAAGGGAAAATATGGTGGTTCATCCCAAGAAGAATACTTACGTAGCTCAGCTGTCAGCAGAAGAATCAGACCTAAGGTAACAGAGGGAATAATGAGTTGGAGGAACTTTTCCATGAACAGAGCAATTCTTGTGAATTAGTGGCTTCACTTTAGCATTAGGGAGCTTTTCCTATGTTTTACTCTTGGAGTCTTTTTAGGAGCCTCTATAGACTTCCCAAGGAGCTCTGGTAGCATAGTGCCTAAGGCACTTGACTACTAACCAGAAGGCTGGTGGTTCAAACCCACCAGCCACTCCTCGGAAGGAAGGTTCGGCAATCTACTTCCGTAGTGATACTGCCTTGGCAACCCAAGGAGGGGTCACTATGCTATGCATTGGAATAGATTAGATGGAAATAGGTTAGGTTTTTTGTTTTTTTTTCAAATAGATTTCCCATCCTACTGATGTCTCAGAGTTTGTCCTGGAAACTCATAGTCCTCTATTCCCACTCACAAGACCAGTAAAAGTATTCTTTGAGGCTCATCAAAGTGAGAGACATTGACTAGGTGGCAAAGCTGTGGAAAACCTATCACCAATGAAGGAATCACAGGTCCCTGTATTTTATCAAACAGTAGTTTTTTACCAAAATAACAATATCAAACATTTTGGTTTGAATTAAAAGGTAAAAGAAAATTTCAAAGGGCAGGAAAACAGCAAGAAGAGAGTGGCTTACAGGCACAGAGTAGAGGCAGTTCCTTACCAGTGAGGAGAGTGAGCTTGGCCATCTTGCCTCAGTGGTAGAGCCTCCTTCATCCAACCTGCTTTTTATATCCTCTCCATCCTCTCCTGTGATTTATCAGATTAACCTTTATCATGATTGGCTCTAAACTGAATGTTATTATTGGCTGTGCTCACAAAGTTTAAGCCCATTTAAGAACCCATTAGTGATAAAGAAACAATACTATCTCTTTTATTTTTTAATAATTTTTGTTGTGATTTGGGTGAAAGTTTACAGAGCAAATTCAGCAGCTCACATACACTTTGTCTCGTGACATTGACTGCAATTTCCCACAATGCAACAGCTCCCTTCTTACTTCCTCTCCATAGTTAACTTTTCCCTGTGTCTGTCCCTCCCATGAACTCCTGCTGTCTCCCTGTGCACACACAACCCTTCTTTTCTCCTATGATTGACCTCTCTAAGGAGTGTATCTTCCTCATGTAAATGTATAGCTCATATGCCTATTTTTTGTTTGGCTGGAAGCCATAGGAGTGGGTTCAATTCCAGACCTGAAGGGAAGCTAGGGGCTATAGTCTCAGGGGTTCTACGAAGCACTATCAGACCAGCAAACCTGGTCCTACTTTTTTTTTTTTTAATGACTTTGAGTTTTGTTCCACATTTTTCTCCCGCTCTATCCAGGATCTCCTACATGGATCCCCCTCTGAGTGGTTGACAGTGGTAGCTGGGCACCATCTTGTTCTTTTGGTCTTATAGTCGTATAAGCTGAGGATTGCATGGTGTACCAGTCCCTTGGACTAATTTTTTTCCATGCGTCTTCGGTTTTCTTCATTTTCTTTGCTCGGGATGAGGGGAAACCAATCATTGCATCTACCCGGCCACTTGCAAGCTTTTAAAATTCCAGTTGCTACTTGCCAACGTAGGATGTGGAACAGTATTTTTATGTAATAATTTATGCCAACTGAGCTTAATGTCCCCTATGACTGTGGTCCCACGCCCATAAGTCCAATTACTTTCTCCCTCTAGGTAGCTGACTGTGGCCAAGAAGTGACTACAAACTTCTCCCTTGTCAGCTCTACTATATACCTGGGAATTGTTACAAAACATACAAATACACTTGCAGAAACATTGTCTGCCAACCCTATACATGGTCATGGGCACACTCCCCTCTACATAGACATACCTAATCGTTTAGCCTGTCCACCCATCTATCCACCCATAGATCAGTGTTTGCCTGCACTGACAACACTGTACTGTATGTGCAAAAGGGTTCATCTTTGTTGTCTGTACCTCCCATGCACCTCAGTCTTCCTCTGCCTCAGTGCCACTGTGTTGATCAGTCACATTTGGTACATTGCCCTTCTCTTCATCCAAATCAATACTTGTCTCTATCTAACAGAGGAAACAATACTATCTTGATTTCATTTTATAAGAAGAAATGGTTGAGTTCAAGCCTAGGAACCATCCTAATAAGCTCCATTATGGAGTAGCTTATATTCAAAACTTTTTATGTTTCTGTGGACTTCACTCTCTGTTTGGATAGTGAGGTAACTAACTAGTTGGCTATCTCACACATTCTCTTTGACCAGCAGAAGTACTGACTAAATTTGTATTCATTTATTCTTTGCAGAAATTCATTAATTCATTGTAAAAACCAATGCCTTCCTTAAGCAAAGGTACAGTGGTTCATAGATACTCTCTTTTTGTCCTCAAATCTATTACTCTTTTTCCTCTTATTTAACTATCTACTCTATCCCAACCTTCTGGTCCTCAGGTGGCCCAAGCCAGCTCCTCTCTGCTCAGGTCTCTTCCACTGCTGTACTTCCCTGGGTCCAGCTTGCCTTAGCTGCCTCTAGCATCATGGAACTGGGCCCCAGACTCTGAGCCTAATGGTGACAATGTCCAGGTGATTTCTTGCCCTAGGCCAGCTCCTCTTCCTGATGCCCATATTTCTGTGAATGGTTCCAGAGTTCCCTTGGTCACTGAGGTTCTCACCATATTAAAGAGTCTTGAGTGTCACCTATCCTCATGACCTTCCATTTCACTCCCCCAACACACACTGGTCTCAGATCACCCGTGTGAACTTATTGTATACAGCTTCCTCCTTTCCCTTATAAATCTATTTTATATGTGACCCTAATTCCCTCGGGGGAATTTAATGGCTTCCCACTTCCTTTCTCTTTATTAAATAATGCTGTTCTCAATGCTCAAAAAGTCTCATCTCCACACTGTTGCTGAGGTCTTTCTCTCTGTCTGGAACATAGAATATTTTCCTCCCATGTTCTCCTCCCACCAGCCTTCTTAAAGGCCTAGCTGAAATGCTTCTCACCATGACACCTGCTTTAGTTACCTGTGTGCTTCTCTAACAGAAAATACCACAAATGGGATGGCTTTAACAAACAGGAGTTTATTCTCTTACAGTTTGGAGGCTTTAAGTCTGAGTTCAAAGTGCCAGGCTCCAGGGGCTGGGTGAGAGCCCCTGAACCTTGGGCTTCAGCTCTGCCTCCTGCTCCTGGCCCACTGAAGCTGGAGTCTTTTCTTCAGTCATCTGCTGGCTGCTGAGACTGACAAACCAAAGGTCAACAAGTGAAAAGGCACAGTCCCTATGTTGCCAAACAACATGGCAGGCCATTGATTCAAGTCCACTGAAGGTCCCAAGATCAGCAGTGCATAGCAGGCTGCTAAACAATGACTCGGCTACATGCTTGGTTCAAGAGTGCTACAAGCTAGATACCATTCCCAAAGCTGCTTCTTATATGTGGGAAGCAGACCACATCCTGAAAGCAGCTACCCAGCTGCTTGTGGTAGATCCTACCATAGAATTGATTGCCAGTTTCATCAGGGGGAATAATTACCACCAGCTGCTTAGCCATTCAATCAGGCCCAGTCATGTTGACACATAAATTTAACTACCACAACACCTTTGCCAATTGTCAGAGCTAGAAGCATCATCTCCCCCACCTCTGCTTCTCTGGCAATTCATTTGTACCACTCAGATAACTCATTGCTTATTTTTATGGCCCATATGTGGGGAAAGAGTGTCGAACTGTGGAAAGAGCCACACAGACTAAGGGTCAAATCCTCCCTACCACTTATTAGGTGTGTGATTAATATCACTTTTCTAATTTGTAAAAGAGCTCTTAATATCACTTTTCTAATTTGTAAAAGAGTAATACAAATGATTACTTTGCACAGAAGTTCTAAGAATTAAGCAAAATGTATTTAAAGATCCTAGCACATACATAATAAGGTATACATGGTAATTATCATTACAGGATATTTGTACATGAGTTTGTATTTTTAAAATTTTTATTGTGATTTGGGTAAAACTTTACAGAACAAATTCATTTTCCATACAGTAATTCATACACATTTTGTCTCATGACATTGACTGCAATTCCCAACAATGTAACAGCTCTCTTTCCACTTCCTCATCGTAGTTATCTCTTCCTTGTGTCCTTCTGTCCTATGTACTCCTGCCCCCGCCCCCCATCTATCTCCCTGTGCAAACTTTGCTCTTTTATTCATGAATTTTCTCTCCCCTATTCAACTGAAACCTCCTTAAGAATCCCAAATGAAGTTTGATTGACTTATTGTACCTGGAATCAATTCCTTATGCAAAACAGGCCCCAAACCAGCATTTATTGAGCCCCAAATAAATTAATTTTAGTAGGAATAATTATTGTAATGATTTCACAAAGACAGGCTGGTGCAATGACATTTTTGGGGTAGGGGATCTTCTGATACCTCTCAAGTTAAACCTTATAGAAGGCTGTCTACACACATCACCTGTATTAGCACCAACAGCATGAACTTTAGTGGAGATCTTGCAGATTAGAAAAAGGCTGCTGTAAGACTTATGCTCGTAAGAGTATAGCACTGAGGCACTGAGGCACTGTGTACACCGAGTACACCTGTGGAAAAGGTAAGTTGAGTTCTTTTATTGTGTTTGTCAGAATATCTGGGCCGCCATTGGTTCCACTTGCATCTCACCAGATGTATTTCAGAATGCTTGGAAACTTCTGCTCCCTTGAAAGTAAAACATGTGCACTAGGAAGTGCAGGAATATAGCCTCTGGAGCTTTTTGCTGATGCCAGTGGGTTCTGCCCTGTTTCACCTCTGATTCATTTGGATTTCCAATCTATAGAATAGCATTGAGGTCCTGACCCTGCACTTACTCTTAAAACTCTTAGGTGAGTTCAAGAAAGTTGACAAACATTTGTGCTAGTTCACTAATGGAGTTGGTTTCTTTGAAAGCCTCCCAACTCTATTGTGAGTTTCTGGAAAATATACAAAGAGCTATTAATATTCCTTTGTTCTGGCCTCCCTTTCAATAAGGGAAAACCGCAGGCATGTCTCCAGGGCAGTGCTCTCCCAGACCATTCAAAGGACTCTAAGAGCTAGGATCAAAGCAGTGGAATATGGTTGGAGAGGCAGAGAAGGATACAAATTTAGATCCATGTGATAATGCATGAGAAAAAAACTTCAATTTGGAATTCAGATGTGTAGTATGAGCTCTGCCACTAATGTGCTGAGGGCTTTGAGAAAGTCACTTAGTTACTCTGGCTCCTTATCGCATGCATTTGTAGCAAATGATTTCAGTAGTAGCTTCAAGAACAAGATAAACAGTTCTGTCTCTCTCTTTTCTCTGTCTCTCTTTTGTTGTTGTTGTTGTTATGTGCCTTCTAGTTGGCCCCAACTCATAGCGACCCCTCCTTGGGTTTCCGAGGCAGTATCACTACGGACGTAGGATTGCCCAACCTCTTTTAGAAGCATACAATTTGAGAAAAGCGTGCTTGTGCTAAAAAATATGACATTAGAAAATCAGTGAATGTGATTTTCACCACATAAATAACGAGCAAAGGATAAGAACCACACAATAATATCAATTGATGCAGAAAAGGTATTAAATGAAATCCAATACCTTTTCCTAATAAAAATCCTCAGTAAAATAGGAATAGAAGGGAAATTTCTCAACATAAATAAGGGAATATATGCAAAAACAAGAACAAATAAGAAACAATTCAAGCCTTGAGTTGCAATATTGAA